CCACATTCACTTCTAATTTCTTCTGGGATACCATAACGCGGAAAAATCTCTTTAAGTTTGGGAATGATAGCATCTTCTGTCATGCTTGTTAAAATAAAAATTTCATACCAACGCGAATAATAGTTAGTTGCTATCATATACCACTTAACATAACATTTGCAGAAATCAACCTTTTTCCATCGTCTTTGTACCCTTTTTATCTTTATGAAATGCCTTTCTATGACTTTCCCGGTGTTCAACACATTGAGGACAGTGTGTTACAAGATGATTAATTTGGGATGAAAGACCAATCCACCAAACACTTTGTTTGACTCGGTCATGACATTTCACAATGCTCAAGTGGCCTTTATGAATAAATTCTATAATTTTAAGTTGAAGACTCGCAAGCAATGGGTGAAACCACACCGTCATAAGCTTGTGTGACAACCTCTATGACAACTGTCACTATTCTCAACTTACATACAGGACGTTGAATGATGATACAATGAATATGCTAACAGCACAGTAGGTACCTAACCTACTTTGGAATGAGTAGATACGCTTGTTTGTTGCTTATTATAATTATGTTCATATAAATCTACAACTTTCATTATCTTTGAAAGATAGTTTTGTTAAAAAATAACACCAAATAAATCTCACCTTTTCAATTTCACATTTCTTATTTCAGTACCATAGTAGATTGCATTAGAAATTGAATATTCCAACACTATTTTCATGATCACTTGGGACACGGGGTAAATTTGGAGAATCGGCTTTCTCGAATCCCTATTCCACAACTTTTAATTATTTGATCCTCGATTCTAACACAATCTCGAAAAATTATAGCCCGACCGAAGGGATCAAAAGTACCACTTTAGTCCCTAGGTGTATAATGTACTATTTACTATTATTGGATATAGCTCTAGATGAAATAATATTATCTATCCATCATTTTCTCTGCGACCTATAAAAGCAACTATTCCCTACTTTCAATATTGACGAACTCCTTTTAAACCCTTTCCAAATATCGTACGATTGGCGATTATAAATTTCGGACCGTACACTCACAAGTAAATGCATATTAATGCATGGTCTACCGGATGCTGATTTAGAGCTGAGTGCATTTTCCGATAGAACGGCTAATCTTGGAGTCGGGCGCCTGTGGTTATTATTAATTCATGGCCCTTGTCGCCTTTAACAATGACATCGGTCCGACATCCGTCTCTATGTTACATTTTAGGACTGTCTATATGTTCGGAACGGTTCGTCTAGCTAACCGAGACTGGACAATTTTTCAATCTGCATGTAGTTAATACGTCTGGTTTTATAAAATGCATACAAAGTCGATTTACATGTTCGGAAATATTATTTATTATAATAAGTTTTCTTCATTGTTAAAAGTTTGGCGTCGTCCATGCATAAGTTTAAGTTTATTTGCAGCTTTTCTTGTTTTAATAATATTCAAATTCTTGGCACTAGTAATGTCAGGCATTTGCTGAGTATTCATTTCAACTGCTCATTCTGCTATTCCATTTTATAAATAAAGCGGTTAATCTAAGATAGTTTACCATTTTATGTTTTCTGGAACAGAATAATGAATTTTTCGGAAGCCCGCTTAGCAGAGGAACTAGAATTTACACTGAGTGTTTGATGTGAAATATGGGAGTGGTTTAACAAAAATTGAAAAACGACCGCTTTCAAGCAATCGGAGCATGGAGTAACTCCAGTATAGATTCGGGAGAATATGCATTGTCTACCAGAAATTCTTGATCTTATTGATAGACCGTGAGATAGGGACTGTTTAGAGGAGTCATGAATGTGGATAGTTAGCTGATGAGAATAAGAGTGATTTTAATACCTGCTCCCTGTTCGAAAATTTGGAAAATAAATTTTTATTTAAATGAAGCATTTATTTTTTTATGATGTTAAATTGTCTCGCTTTTGAATAAAATATTGACATTGATGAATAATTCACCAACAAAAAATGTTAGATGCATTTCAATGGCTGAAAAAGTGCGGATGGGAGTAAACTTGCAAGAGAAAAGTATACAACTTGCCGCATTCACTTGCTGACTGGCAATCGAGGGAATAAAAGGTTTTGTTTTGAAAATAACGCCGAAAAATCGCCAGACAGTAATCACAATTGTAACATGCCAAATGTTAGGTAAGTACTGTTTTTCTTTTTTCCATATAATTGTTTTATAAATCAAATTATCACCTTTAATGTTGACAGTCTCGTGACTAGCATTAAAAAAAAAGAAGTTTTCTGTCGAAAATAATAATAGCAATTATTGAACTAGAGGGCACGATGTTCGTACCAGTTTAGTACCAACACTTTCGTTGGCTTTTTTTTTGAAGGAAGGCTCTGCTTGTTCAGCTTGTCTTTTTTTTGTCCCTCTTGAATTTTGCTGTTCGCCTTGATAGGTTGACTCTGGCCTACGGGGCAGCCATCTTCCTCAACTGTGATTACCGTTCTCGTGAAGAAAAATCCCTTATCGGTCATCAGGCACTGTTTTAACGAAATAAAGTTGCGTAAGGCAATAATCCATTAAATACCGAAAAAAATTTAATCAAAAGTCTTGTGATTACCGTTTTGTGTTTGAATTTCGAACCTCCTCGTGGTAAGTCCTTTTCAATTTTTTTTTTAAAGTAATGGATGTTCATAGAATGCCTCTATTACTTAGGGTTTTTCCGACGAGCCGTTTTTCCGAAGAGCCGTTTTTCCAAGGAGCCGTTTTTCTCAAGGAATCCATTTTCAACAAGCGCACATCTCTGGGCATAGAGCTCTTGAAGTGACTTCCTAGAGGAATCAAGTCCGTCAATTGTCGATACGTGTATCCCACATTTGACGAAGAAAACTGAACTTCTAGCCTTGATTCCAGGCTAGAATCTGCAACTTCTATTTGCAACTTCCCTCGTCAAAGGACCTAAAATGGAAGGCTACTGTACTCTACCTTTTTGTTGGAATGGAGGCTTGTATAAACGAGCCGTTTTTCCGAGAAGTCGTTTTTCCGAGGAGCCGTTTTTCTCAAGGACTCCATTTGCAAAAAGCCCACATCTCTGGGCATAGAGCTCCTAAAGTGATTTCCTGGAGAAATCAATTCCATCACGTGTCGATACGTGTATCCCCACATTTGACGAAGAAAACTGAACTTCTAGCCTTGATTCCAGACTAGAATCTGCAACTTCCATTTGTAACTTCCCTCGTCAAGTGACCGAAAATGGATGACTACCGTACTCTTTTTGTTGGAATGGAGGCTTGTATAAAGTTTCATTAATGACTATTAATACCTTTTTTTATGAAATCTACTCTACAATCAATTAATAAAATTGATTGATTTTTTTTTTCTATGTGACCTTTAAATAATTATTTCCGATTTTCGAATTATCGAATTTATTATAGATTTATCTTTACTTAAGTTTTGGTACCGCGATATTTAAAAATTTATATTTTATTAATCATAATCATTAATCTGAACTGAGGTCAAGGTTGGACAACATGTTCTAAATTTGAAATTATTGAGTATGTACCTACATCGTCGAAAATTGTTCAATTTTTAACCATGGGTCTTATAACTTATATATTTGAGGATTTCTATTATATCTCCTGACCATTTAACCCAGCCTTTGATATCATACAGGTGCAATTTGATTTCATTGATTTATTCTTTTCTTTAAGCATAAGCTGACCATATTTTTATCAATACAATTTTCAATCATTCATTTTTTTTTAAATCAGTTTCCTGGAAACTTGAATCTTTTATATTTTGATTTCATGATAATGATAAAGGCCAGCGTTTATGAACTTATATGGCAAGTTTATTTGTTTATATTTTTTTTTTTGGTTTGGTTAATCTTATACTTTTTGTGGCTGTTATAGTGCCTACTTTGTAGTTAGGAATTAGTATTAGAATCCTGTTGCTTTGTCAATAATTTCTCCGGAATTTGAACAATAAAGCTTATTTTGAAATTGAAGAAAAAAAGTCTATTGAGTTACATTGTGATATTATTATTATTTTTTTTTTGGAATTTAATGAATCTGATCTGAGATGTAATCTCTATTCACTGATTTTATTTAAAGTATTTCAACAACAATTGATTTTATCCTTTAGAACTATTTCATTCTTGATCTTTGTGTTTTATTGGTTTTACCTATGAGTAGATATAAATGGCCGGTTCTGCAACCTCCGTCCTCCGGAGGAGCTTATAGCATGCCTGCATGCGCCATCTATAGGTTCAGTTGCCTATAATACCCCCGGGGGCTATTGTACACTCACTACCTGCCGTATGAGGCGCCATCTAGGTCCGGATACCTGTATAGGTTCAGTTGCCAAAGTTCCCAGGCTCAGGTGATGAAGTTCAATGAAACAACAATTTTTCGGTAAAATTTTATTTAAACGCAAAGAAAATAAAACACAGTAATTCTATGGTGACTCGAACATTTGTTCATGACAGAGTAGATTATGTTCGTTTCTTCTAATGTAGGTATGCTTTTTAATTGAATTTTCGCAAAAGCAAAAACATTTTTGACAAGTATAACAAAAATGTGTATGATCTGGAAAGGCTGTGTATAGATCCGTTGGATAAATTTCATGACTGGTTCTAAAAACCAAAAAAGTGGTAAGTATAATTTTTTCGCAGTTAGGTTAAATTTACTTACATAAAAAACACTCACATAGTCCATTCTGCAAATTCGAAAACTGCAGCTGGTAAAGGTTTCCCAACATTTTTTTCACCTCTGTAAATTAGGGCGGAGCAACCATTAGTCAATTTTTTAATTTCCTCTTGAGTAAAATCATATCTCTTGGGTAGAAAAATGGACTTTCCATCTTCCAATGCAACCAAAATTGAAGGCCCAAATTTTGTATCCATTTTACTAATATTAATGATTTTGTACGGTTTGCCAATTTCTAACTCTTCTTTCTTATTACATTCTTTGAAACTATATTTATCATTAATTTCCGCAATCGACATAGCTAATCTGAAAAAGAATACATGAAAAAAAAAAAAAAAAAAAAAAAAAAAAAAAAAAAAAAAAAAAAATAAGAATAATAATAATAAAAAATGTCTACCTGTCTATTTTTTTTTTTCCACAAACGCACCGCTGCTCGCAGAAAACAGAACTTGTGTTTTTAACTCAAAGAAACCCTATTTAGACAAACTCATACCTACTACACGCACTGAAACAATACCGTCAATTTGCATTGATTAACAAAATCGTGATCTTGTGTCACGTTTCGTAATTACAAATTACAAAGTACTTAATTATATATTTTTTTAAATTTTTCTAACCAGGATCTCTATGTATCGTTTAATAGCATTTTCGTGTATCATTTATCATCAATTGAAAATAATTAATTGAAAAGTGAATCACGTTTCCTCGTTATTCAAAATGTGAAGCGACTTTGCTTTCTTATAAATACGAATAAGAGATTCAAAAATTATCCAAGTTTCCAACTTACCTTACCGGCTTTGTAATACACCGTCTGAATAATTTTCGTGAAATTTAAAAATGGATAAAAGTACTCAAACAGATTTTGACCAGGTAAATTCAATTGTATTTCATTTTTCAACCAATAAATAGTAGGAAGGTTGAAAATATTTTTTCGTTTTAGTGTTATTGTGCAGTAACTAGATTTTCTCAACCTCCTTCTACTTCTCCTAACCAACAGGAACCACCGAACTCAGGAGGATTGGTTCGACTGAGATACAAACGTACAGTTTCAAAAAAAGTTTAGAGGGGAAGAGAAGAGACGGTTTGGGAAATTTAGTGATAGTGATAACTGATTTTGAACAATAAATGGTTGGAGAGGTGGAAAATATTTTTTTCGTTTTAGTGTTTTTGTAAATTGAATAGTGTTTCTCAACCTCCTTCTACTTCTCCTAAACTTCAGCAGTCGCCAAAAGTAGTAGAATTACCTCTTCCACTTCCTAAGGAAGATTGGCTCGACTGGGATACAAACGAACCGACTTATGATCCAACGGAGTATGTATTAGCCAATCCAATTTTAAGGAGTATTCCACCCAAAAAATCCAAAAGTTTCAAAAAAAAGTTTAGAGAGGAAGAGAGGAGACGGTTTGAGAAATTTAGTGCTAGTGATAGTGATAAATGATTTTAATAACTATCTAAAATGTTCTATAATAAGGTACCATTTTTTTAATAATTTATTTTCAATAATTTATTTTTTCATTTTTAAGGTACAATGCCGTTTGAAAAATTTCATAAAAATATTTATCACGACTTACGAAAATTATTTTCCTGAACAATGTTCAAATATCGAAGAGGGTGGAGTGTTCTATGAAGAAGAATATCTAGAAGGTTTAGTAAGGCTTTGCTTAGAATGTGGAAGAACAGTGTATCCCTTGGATCGTCTTGCGACAGTGTCTAAACATGAAAAACTGAAGAGTAAACAGACGCTTAATACTGATTTTTCTTGTATGAAGTGTAAAAAAAATTTACAGGAGATTTTAAAAACGGAAAGTTGTACATTTTGTAGAAATAAATCAACTTGAATTAAACTAGAAACTTATTTATTATTTAAATGGAGTCACTTTCATTATAACATCATGTATTCACATAAGCATTCGAATGGCGATGGTGGTGGTGGTGGTCGTGAAAACATATTGAAAGGAAGCTTAGGTTGGAGCATACCAGTTAATCTTTCTATTTCTTCTCGGTTTGAATTACCTCTAGAACCGTAAGTTTAATTTTATTTTATTTTTATTTTTTCATGAAAGTTAACAATTATTATTTATTGTGTTTGATTTGCTTTTTTAGAAAAATGTTTATCTGTGAATACTGCTCTAGATCGTTTACCAGAAAGGATAATTTAGTGCGTCATGGGGATTGTAGAGCCGCGGTTGAAATTTGCAGTCAATGCGGGGGAATTTTCAAATCAGAGGGAGCCTTCCAACGTCATTTCAAAGAAAAACACAGAAGGGCCCCAAAGCGTAAAGCAGAAAATTTTTGTGTTCCCATGGTTGAACGAGCTAGAGTTGACCAAAATAATGGTAAGGTTTTTTCGTGTTTGTATAGTATTTGCTAACTCTTCTCTTTTTTTTTCTTTTTTTTCAAAGCGTCAACGTCATCCACACGTCACTGTCTGGAATGTGCTCTTGAGATTTCGACCAATCGATGGGCCGGGCATCTGCGGAGTCTACAACACCTGGCCAACACCTGTGTCCAGCAGGAAGAAGGCGTACAGCTCGTAAAAACATCTTTTAGGGCCCGAATTGCGACATACCGGCTTTCTTCAAAACAGGACCCTACCAGCGTCAAGGAATTTTTAGGACATCTTCTTGAAAAATTTATCAAGCTGATAGGTGATAATGTGTTGAAATTTGGTCATATTAAAGTCGGTGTGGAGCTTTTCGGCGGCTTCCTCCTGCAGGCGAAAGAGTTGGAAGAGGTTAAGTCCTTCAACACCAAATTCCGCCTGTTAAGCGATGGTGCAGATCTGAAGGAGCTGTTCGAGCAGTTTTCAGCCATCCTGGATAAAAAGTGTTCGGAATTCCAGGAAAAAGAAAGTGGTATGTAGAACTTTATTTGTATGTCCTTTTTACTAGACAATGTTTATTACAGGCTGGGCGCTGCAGCAACTCCTACACTTAGATGTAGCGATAAATAAGGTCAACCCCTTGAGAGCGTCTTCGTATCTCGCGCTACCAAAAGCGATAGAAGCTAAGAAAGCTGTCCTAAATATACAAAATCGTGACCAAAAATGCTTCATGTGGTCAGTCTTGGCTCACCTACATCCAGTTGATCGAACTAAACCAGCAAATAGAGTCGCGAACTATCTGTCTTTTGAGAACGAGCTAGACTTTACAGGTATGGAATTTCCAATTAAACTTAAAGACATTAGTAAGTTTGAGCAACTCAATAATATCTCCATCAATGTTTATGGATTAGATAACGCCTATGAAAATGGTAGAGATATTATTGAAATTGTTGGTCCCTTATACTTTACTCAGTCTCGAAAAGCGAAACATGTGAATTTATTATTAATCAGTAATGATTTTGGTGATAGTCACTATTGTTTAATAAGAAACATGTCTCGCTTGATTTCAAGTCAATTATCTAAACATGAAAAAGCTAAATACTTGTGTGATGGATGTTTGGTGTATTTCTCAACTGAGCAAAAATTGAAAGCTCATCAAGAATACGACTGTGGTCACGTTTCAGTGCAATTACCGACAACAGATTTAAAGAAAAATAAAATACGGTGAAGAGGTTCCTGAGAATATCCTGAAATTCACAAATTTCGATGAAAAATTGAAGGTACCTTTTGTTGTTTACGCCGATTTCGAGACAATCATTGAACCTGTCGAGGCAGAGGAAACCGAGCTGGACCCCGAAAATTCCTATACTATCAAAACTCACAAGGCTGTTCCTTATTCTTTCGCCTATTACATTAAATGTGACTTTGACGATTCTCATTCGATTTTCAAGACTTTCAGAGGACCTGATGCACACAAAGTTTTCGTAGACTGGTTAGAGAATGATTGTAAATCAATCTATAATCGATTTATGAAAGACATAGTGCCCATGCACCCTCTAAGTCAAGAACAAGAGGATGAGTTTCGCAATGCGGAAAATTGCCATCTTTGCGAGAAACCATTTAAAGCAGAAGACGAAAGAGTGAGGGATCACTGTCATCTCACTGGGAATTTCCGAGCTGCAGCCCACTCTCAATGTAACCTTAATTTTAAAATTCCAAATTTCATCCCTATCTTCTTTCATTGTATGTCCAATTTTGATTCCCATCTCTTTGTCAAGGAATTGGCTCAAGAAAACGAAAGAGTGGATGTTATCCCCCAAAATAAGGAGCGGTACATTTCATTTACCAAACATATTTTGGTGGATAAAATCCCACTCGATGAAGCAGGTAAATACAAACAGGTATTTTTGAAATTGCGCTTCCTCGACAGTTTTCGATTCATGGCATCAAGCTTAGATAAATTATCACAAAACTTAAAACCAGAACAATGTCGAGAAGTTAGAAAATATTTTCCCGCGGAAGACGAATTTCAGGTCATTCGACAAAAGGGTGTCTTCCCGTATTCTTACGTGGATTCTTTTTCGAAATTAGACGACACCAAGCTTCCATCCATTGATGACTTCTACAATCATTTGAGAAAAGAAGCCATCAAGCGAAAAGATTACGAGCGTGCACAGAAAGCTTGGAATTTGTTTAAATGTAAAACTTTAGGTGAATATTCAGATATTTATTTAAAATCCGACGTATTAATTCTGGCTGATGTTTTTGAAAATTTTAGAGACGTGTGTCTATCAACCTATAGTCTAGATCCGTGTCAGTATTACACGGCTCCAGGGCTATCTTTTGATGCTGCTCTTAAAACAACAGCTATGGAGTTGGAATTACTGACAGATATTGACATGATACACTTCCTGAAGCGCGGCATTCGCGGAGGGGTCAGTCAGTGTAGTATAAGGAAAGCTGTCGCAAATAATAAGTTCGTTCCTCACTACGATGCTTCCAAACCTACTTTTTACTTAATGTACCTGGATGCTACCAACTTATATGGTGCAGCCATGAGCCAATTTTTACCGACGGGTAACTTCAAATGGCTTGACGCGGAAGAAATTCAAAACTTAGACTATTTGAAATTAGATAAAAACTCAAGCACTGGCTACATATTCGAAGTTGATTTAGTATACCCGGAAGACCTGCATTATACGCATAATGAGCTACCCTTTTGCCCAGAATCCGTTGCTCCAGAAGGTTCTAAAATTAAAAAACTTATTCCAAATTTCAATCGAAAAGAAAAATACGTTATTCATCTTCAAAATTTGCAGCAGGCTATAAGTCATGGCATAAAATTGGAAAAAATTCATCGCGTTCTCACTTTCAATCAATCTCCTTGGCTCAAAATTTACATTGACCTAAACACAGCAAAACGGAATGCTGCTTCCAATAAATTTGAAAAAGATTTTTTCAAACTTATGAATAATGCCGTGTTTGGTAAAACTATGGAAAACGTGGAGAAAAGGGTAGATATCAAGCTAATTACCCATTGGGAAAATATTGGAAGAAAACGGGGAGCAGAAGCGTGGATCTCAAAGCCTCATTTTAAAGACGTTACCATTTTTGGTGAGAATTTAGTAGCTATCCATATGGCTAAACAGAGAGTTAAATATGATAAGCCTATTTACGTGGGATTCGCCATTTTGGATATATCCAAGACAATCATGTATGATTTTCTGTATAGCTATATCAAGCCTAAATACGGGAATAAAGCGTCCCTACTCTATACTGATACTGACTCCCTTATTTTAAATATAGAAACTGAGAATTTTTATGATGATATTAGAGAAAATTTAGACAAATTCGATACTTCTAATTACTCACAGAATAACCCACATAATGTACCTGTAAACCAATCTATTCTGGGTAAAATGAAAGATGAATATGCAGGGAAAATCGTGTGGGAGTTTCTAGGTACTGGGGCGAAGGCGTATTGTGTTAATGTGGAAGGAGAGTTGACTAAAAAAGCGAAAGGCGTACCTGATTACGTCACCAAGAAAGAATTAACCCTTGATGATTATAAGACTGCGGTTGACGTAGAAGGTACGCTCATTCATCGTCAGATGAACACTTTCCGTTCACATAAACATGATATGTACATCGAACTTAAAAATAAAGTAGCTTTGTCTTACGCGGACGACAAACGCTACGTTATACCCGGTACTGAATACACGCTCGCTTGGGGTCATAGAGATATAGAGTTGTATAAGGAATCATCGGAAATTCCAGAGAGTCAAGACTGACAGCAGGGACAGCTTTCTCAGCATGCTTTCAAGGGGTTGTAGTTTTAAGGTTTTTAGGTTAGGATTTTTTTCACCTATAAGTTGTGGTATTATTCATTTAAACTTATTTATAATTATAATGATATTTGTTTGTGTTTTGTAAATTTAATAAACTACCTTGTTTTGTTTTTTTTTTTTACTCAGTTGTTTTATTCCATTTTAATAAACATATCGTACAGGTTAAATTTGTGGGCTAAAACTATCTCAAGATGATTTTCGTTCCAAGCCATCACTTCATTGGTCCGCATATCAACCACAGTTAGTCCTTTGCTTTCTTCTTCATGCCAGTAGCTAACGTAAATGTATTCTCCAATGTAAAAATTTGTATCGCACCATCCATCGTTGATCGTATCCAGAAAATTCAGAAAGTCCTCAAATTCATCATTGGTGAATTTCATTGGAGCGCCGTTCTTGGGTTGTAAAACAACCTCCCGTTTTTCCTGACTAAATTTCACTCGCACAATGTTCTCAATTTTATATTCTTGATAAACTGGTTTCGGACGGATGCTCCGGCTGCTTGTTGATGGTCCATTCGAAAATCTTGATGTTGATGTGAATACATCATCCCATTTCGAATCCATTTTTAGATTTTGAAAAATAATTATCAACGATTTTTTTCGCTCGTAAAACTCCAAATCTTTTCTCAATTCA